CCCCAAAACCCCAAAACCCCAAAACCCCAAAACCCCATTTTTAAAAATTTAAGTTGAGTTTGAATAAATAAAAATGAACATTACCAAACCTACTTTCCAAACTAAAACTCATGTACACCCTTCTATCCCCTTTCTTCACTCTCTCAGCCCCTCTTCCCCACCCAGGGCCTCCTTTCCATCCCTTTTCAGTCATCCTGAGGCCACCTCATAACACACTTTTAGACCCTATCCGCCTCCAAAGTAAAGAAGTGCAAACTCTTCTTAAACAAATACTACAGATTTTACTCAAAGAGACAGACTACCAGTGAGAGTGAAGCCAAGAAGGAGCTGATGAGGGAATTAGAGCCCCCGACTAAGCAACAAGTCAATGATTTTATAAGTAATGTAAGCGATTGGGGTTGTGTTTAGTCTTTTGGGCAAGTCAGGTGGGGGTCTAAGAAGAGGAAGATGAGTGCATGACCTTTGTTGGGGAAGAGGGGGAAGAGGAGAGAGGAGGGGAAGAGGTCAGGAAATCTTGTATCTGGGGGTGGTAGGGTTCAGACGAGGCATAGAGTTGTGAAATCGAACGCTTTATCGCAATTTAGTATTAATACAAGGAGGATGAAGAGAATTGAGAAAGATGATAGAAAGTATCTAGACTTATTCTCGTATGCTTAATTTTAACCCTTCTTCAGAAACAAAGATGCGGATATCAGAATCTATAGACCAGAAATAGTCAAAGATGACCATTATAATTCACTCAGCTCAGAGAGAAAGTCAGAGGTTCATGAAAATGCTCAATATAACAAATTAATGTATGTATGTAAGAACGATGAATTATAGCTCACGTTGTCAAAACAAAAGGAAGAAATCTTCCGTCAGCCGGAAGGTAAGTTCTCGGATTTTGCAGATCATTAAACATCTAGAGGGTAGCAACTACGAAAAGGACAAGAAGGAGAAGGGACTTATCCCTATCCAAGAATAGTATAATTGCTAATATTCATAAACGAAGAATTGGAACTTCTAAAGCAGGAAGGAACCATATTCGAACTAATGTAACAAGTTAACTTATTTTAGGCTCTGTTCAATAAGATTTTCACAAACAAGAAGGACCCAAATGAATGAATTAAGACTTCAGAAGGTATCTCTAAGGATGAATCTTCTACTCTTTTCAAAGTGACTTATGATTGCTCAAGTTTCTTCGGGAATTAAAATTATATATTTCTATTCCACAAGATCTTAAGGGGTTTTGGGGTTTTGGGGTTTTGGGGTTTTGGGG